TTTTTTAATTTTTAAAAAGCAGAAAATTTTCCGTGAAGGGTAGGTTTAGGGGTAGGGTTGGGTGTAGGGGAATAGAATATACAGTTTGTACAGTATAAAAACCATTACGCCTATGGAATGTCCCCATTTAGATAGCTAAACATGTGTGTGTGTGTGTGTGTGTGTGTGTGTGTGTAAAAAAGTTGGCCTAGAAACAATTTTCACTTAGAAATTGCTAATAAGTTTCACAGTTAAAAGATTTTTGATCAAAATCCAATTCAAATGAGCTGAGCTACTATCCACATTATTAGTTTTATAGTTCTATTACTGCATGCCGAGCATTTTTTTTTTTCTCTTCAGGGATTTTTTGAGACATAGTTGAAGTTGATTCATAAATAAGAACTCTCTTGAGTTATGAACCTTTGAGCAATAACATTTTCCTCTGGGTTTATTTATGCTGTTTATCAAAAAAAATCCCTTGAAAGTACTCAGCGTATTTCGTGCTTCAGCTCTGGCCTCGTCGACAGCACAACTGTTGAGATGTAATCCAGACAGAAGGCCGATGAGCAGCTGTCGGGCTGCCATGTCATCGAGCAGAAACGCATCTCGCAATGTTTTCCAAATTCTGTGGCAGGAATGTAAATAGTAGCGATTAATCCCTGTCTTGGTGGGATTACCTATCAACAGACTCAGAGACGAGGCTGTCAGCAGCCAGCGCCAGTGTGTAATCCCACATCTGATCCACCGGCTGAGTTCTCGCTCTCCGAGCTAATTATACATCCTGCAGGGCACCAAACATTTCCACTCTCATACACTCATCACGTTACTGCTCATTCATTGCTCGGGAGGAGTTTTAACTCTGATGATTCACCTAAAACTCCTTAAGAGAAATGCAAAGACACAAATGAGACAACCATTGACAGAAAGAGCTCAAATGAACGAGAACAGCAGCTCAGGAAGAATTTGATGAGAAATATTTGAATTAGTAGCACACTTTGAGACAATGTTAGGAGGAGACGTGTGAGATTTATGGGGCTTTTTAGCAAGAGACTTCAGTAAAAGTCTCCATTTAAACAGACTGCTGTCTAGGAGAAACAACTGTGATATTAGGTCAAGGTCAAGGTCAAACTTGTGATATTAAAGTCAACTTGAACTGGCATTTGCAACCCAATTTTCTGGCGTAAAAATTTTGGAGTCTGTAAAAGCTGTTGAAAGGAGTCTCTTCATGCTCACCAAGGATGCATTTGTTTGTTATACAGCAAAAACACTAATATTGTGAAATATTATTTGAATTTAAAATAACTGTTTTCTATATGAATATATTTTAAAATGTAATTTATTTCTGTGATCAAAGCTAAATTTTCAGCATCATTACTCCAGTCTTCAGTGTCACATGATCCTTCAGAAATCATTCTAATATGCTGAAACATTTATGATTATTATCAATGTTGAAAACAGTCAATGGAAACCACAATTTTATTTTTAGGATTCTTTGATGAATAGAAAGTTGAAAAGAACAGCATTCATATGAAATAGCAATCATCTGTAACATTATAAATGTCTTTACTGTCACTTTTGATCAATTTAATGCGTCCTAGCTGAATAAAAGATTAATTTCTTTAAAAAAACACACTGACCCCAAACTTTTGAACAGTAGTGTATTTTCTAGTACAACAGGTAAAATAAGAGGTAAAATTCATATTGTCAGCCAAAAAGGAAAGACATTTCAGAGGGTTTTTGAAACATGTTATTTCTCTTTTTGAAGAAAGATTGCAAAAAACAAAAACTAAAAAAAAAAATTCCAGAATAAAGTGCACCAATGAAACAGCATACCAAAGTGTATTTCTATTTAGCTATTCTGTGTAACTTGTTTTTACAGGCACCCAAAAAGGCAAAGAAGCGGGCAGAAGGAGCCAATTCAAATGTCTTCTCCATGTTTGAACAAACTCAGATCCAAGAGTTCAAAGAGGTACAAAGCAAGCGCTCGTTTGATTCTAATTGCTCTGACAATTGTCTTTATCGTGACTCTTTCACTGTGATATCGAGCATCTACAGCGAGATTCCCGTATGTGACTTCAATATGTCAGTGTTCATCATCACAAGGGAATCATTCAGAATGTGTCAGTAACGATTAGCACAGTGGAGTGATTTACACCCTGAACACACACTCGTTCACACACACAAACACACACACACTCCAACTGCTGTCAGGGCCCTGAGATTTGCGTGGAAAATGCAGCAAGACAGACGTTCTCTCTGGTCTCAAAGCGGCTGTGAAAAGATCACGGCAAACAGGATAAGCATGACGCTGATCCGAGATGGCAGTGATGAGAACGTGCAGACAAATGTCTCTCTCTCTTTCAGTCTGTCTCTCTCACACATATCACAAACAAACACAAAGACACTCAGGAAAGCAGAATTACAGGAACTATAAATATACAAATGAGAGAGTTTGGCAAAACAAGATATAATAAAAAAGCAGCACGACAGGGAGGTCTGACCTTTAGTTAAATAATTAATTCACCTAAAAATGAATTTGTGATTGTGAGTCGTTACTTATTTTATTTTTTATGTTATTTTTCTGTAGAACACAAATTGTTGAACTTTCACGCTCCAAAAAACACATTAATTATCCTTAAAATATCATAACAGTAGACCATATGACTTGAGAATTATATTCCAAGCCTTCTGAAGTCAAACGATAGCTTTGTGTGAGGAACAAACCATTATTTACAGATAATCTGTCCCTGCTACCAAAACTCAAAACACATTCAGTTTCACAACAGCCTGGCTTAGCGAGATGTTGAAAATGTCTGTGAAGACATCAGTGAGTTCCACTGCACAGTCTCTCAGTACACGCCCAGGAATGTTGTCAGGACCCGGAGCTTTGCGTGCATTGATCCTGCTGAGGGATCTCCTCACGCTGTCCGGGGACAGCGTCATCACCTGGTCGCCGGGAGGAGGTGGAGTCTTCTGTGCAGTGGTGCTGGTGCTGATGTCAAAGCAGGGTTATTATAGGTAACTAAAACCGTAAAAAAAGAAGAAGATTGGTTTAAAATAAAACTTCAATAAAATATTCATATTTTTAATATTTATATTTTATTCATTTTTATTTCACATCACAGCACATCAAGTTACACTAAATGAAAATGAGATGTTGGCTTGGCAAATAACTGTAATAAAATAAGTTCAAGATTTTTGAAGATTTTATTTTATTTCAGCTAGTTGCTAAAGAAACATTTTCATTTAGGTGTAAATTGATGTACTAAAAATATCTAAATAATTAAAAAAGCAAAGAAAAATAAATAAAAACTATATATGGACATATTAAAAAAATATTTATATATATATATACAAAAAAATATAAAACACAATAAAATTACTAAAAGTTTAGCTAAAATTAAAATAACAACAAAATATATAAATAAAAAATTCACAATAAAAACCAGCATTTACGATACTAAAATAACACTGACTCACAAATATGATGCACCAATTTGAAAAACTCGCCTTTTGCATTCTACAGAAAACACACACAGCACAAACAACATGATGGTGAGTAAATGTTGATAAATAATTGATTTTTAGGTGGCCTTACAGTAAAAGTAGTGAAAACAAGCGAATTTGAGAGTGCATACTAAAGTGCATACAAAATGGTTTTAATTCTATGCAATACATGATGAACATGATGTTTTCAAACATCCATCAACCACAAAAGTTAAATTATAAGTTGGTCAAAGTGCATATTTCACCTAAAGGCAAATAGATGCAGAAGGCACGCATGCCGCTTTCCAAAAAGATCACTAAAATTATATACATCAACATCATAAAAGGCTATAGCAACACAATATATGTCAACTACTGATTCAACAATGAGGAAGTACGGTGGACTAATTTTTTATCATTTTTTGCAATTCCATTCTGTGCAACTAGAGGTGCTTCATCTTTGACAAACACCGTCAGACCACATTCTGCATCCCTCTCACACACACTCTATATTCTTTCTCTTTCATCTGCCTCAGGCGTTCACAATCATGGACCAGAACAGAGACGGCTTTATCGACAAGAATGACCTGAGGGATACGTTCGCCGCTTTAGGTGGACTGTAATAATCTCTGCTATACGTCACTGTCGTTCTGTATTGGTGGATGAAGCGTCTCTCTGACAGCAGTTCTGACCTCTGCCTCCGCAGGTCGCCTGAACGTCAAACAAGAGGAGCTCGACGAGATGCTAAAGGAGGCTCCAGGACCCATTAACTTCACTGTCTTCCTCACCATGTTTGGGGAGAAGCTTAAAGGTAAATGGTGGGGTGAAGTAGCACTAAGAATCCAAAAACCCTGTAGGAATTTAAATGTATCCAGCAGGATTATAAAAGCAAGTATCTTAATGTTGCCTTGACAAACCACTAACTTAAGAGCAACATTTCTGATTGCAACTTCCTGAGCATTCAAGCTAAAATCAAAAAAAAATTTTTTTTTTTTTTTTAACTATTCTAATATTTTTTCAACTGTTTCATACACTACCAATTAAAAGTTTGGGTCAGTAAAATGTTTGTTTGAAAAATGAACACTTTTATTCAGCAACGGTGCATTGAATTGATCAAAAGCGAGAGTAAAGACATTTATAATGTTACAAATCATTTCTATTTCAAATAAATGCTGTTCTTTTGAGCTTTCTATTCATCAAAGGATCCTGAAAAATAAAATGCATCACGGTTTCCACAAAAATATGAAGCAGCACATCTGTTTTCAACATTGATGATAATCAGAAATGTTTCTTGAGCAGCAAATCAGCATATTAGAATGATTTCTGAAGA